AAAAAAAAAGAGAAATTGTGAGCAGGTAAGATTGTGTTCACAGAGAGAAAACAGACCTTGGCTGCATCTGATCCTTCACATATTTAAAATCATCACACATCTGCATGTCCTGCCTTTCACAGACTCGCTGACTCTGTAAAATCGGCAGAGCAGACTGGTTATGGGGGAGTCGTTGGTGTTTTATGGAAACTGACATCTGTAATGTTGCTCTACTACGTCTTCTTGATTTAATCGTCCACGGCGCAACGCTGTTATTTCACAGGCGAGCCCCAGTCACGTGCTCGACTGCCTCACATCTATCGTATCTCTCTGTTTCTACTCACAGAGCTGTTCTGCTTTGATGTCCAGCACGGAGCTTTTATCTTGTTATCGCGTTATTTCATCCCATTCCCCTGTGAAATTCCATACAACAGGCAAAGGGTACAATAAATGGCCAACACCCTCCCTGCCTCCCTTCTTCCCTCCCATCCATAACACAGAGCTGACAACAATGGTGTTAAAGAGAAAGAGAGATGAAGGAGGGGAACCATGGGGATGGGGGGCTCCATTTATGTGTGAACTACAACAGAGAGGAACTGACCGTAGACTGTAGGACGAGCCTAATTAATGAGATACATAATTAATGGGATGTAAACGTACAGAAAAAGGTTGGGGAGGGTGAGGAGCAGACAAGACTGCAACCTCAGCATGTTCTTAGAGGAAAAGTTAAAAGAAAAAAAAATCTCAGCTTTGTGTAAGAAAAGGAGCTGTGTAAGCTGCTGTTTTCTTCCAACAATCCATCCAACCATCATCCAGCCACCCATCCAACCTTCCCTTATCTATCCCTCATCATCATCGAACATCAATCCACCAAACCGTCCATCGAACTACCATCCATCCACCAACACACTTTTCCTACCATCCATCCTACCATCCATCAATCCATTTTAGTTCATTTTAAATTGTGCTTTGACTTTTCTTATGTCATTTAACTTCAGATACAATACATTCTGAAAATGTTTCATCGAACTCTACCACAGACAGAATAACTTGGATTTAAGTCAGTGACGTGCGGTGAGGTTCATGGCTGCTGAGGCACTGACTCCTGCGGAGTCAGATTTACAATTGTAAGAACCAAAAAGAGCATCTTATTTCATGATTCATCCAACAGCAACACCTATGGTTCATATCCATCAGCATTCTTCTTTCAATGACACTGACACCAACACAAACACAGGAACATATTTGTCCTACAAAGAACGTTTCTTTTATAGACATGGACAGAGCACCCTTCTTGTGTCTAAGAAATTCAGATTTACTGTAAACAAATTAAAGTATAGAGATGAGTGCAGCTCAAATTTACAAATTTTGACCTTCAGTAAAAAAAAAACAGTTATTTTTCAAACAATTTTGGGCCAGAAATTTAGTTATGAAATACTTGATTTTTTTTCTACTAACTCCCATCTTTTTTTTTTTTTTTAACAAAAACTTAAAACTATTTTTAGCCTTACCATACCTTATAGATGAAGTCCATGGTTGTATCTCTCGGTTTTCCCTCACCTCAGCAAATTAATACATTAAAGACATTACACAGACTGTAGAGAGACAGGCTGTAGACCAAATATTTCTGTTAAGTTCGTATTGGCGATATGCTGAGGAACAGAAACGGGCATGCGTCATGTGACGCAGTTTGTATTGGATCGCGCAGTCAGAAGTGAGGCACAGCCCTCCGCTGCCTCACCCAGGATTTCTGCACTGTATTTGATCACATTAAATACTCAAATTCGGCGATTTTTTTACTTAATAAAATGTCAAAAATGTAATACTGAAAATGCATCTTTAAAACAGATGCACTGCCTCCCCTGATCGCACGTCACTGATTCAAGTGTATGAACACTCCAACTACATATTGTTTAAATGTCTTTAGTCTCTGGCACCAGAGGAGACGCTGTTTGGCTTCGATTATTTAACACTAGTAAATCTGCTCCCCTTGAAAACGGCGAGAAAGCAAACGTATAAAGACCGTGATGACATAAATAACAGGGTCTGTAATGAGGCTTTCACGGAGGCACAGCCAATTACGGAATAATCTATAGAGCATCCTCAAGTCGGTGACACACAGGAGTGTGATTGATAACGCGTCCATACACATTGGCGTCGCGTCAATCAATCCCATAGCCATCAACAGACAGTAAAAAGGTCAATACAGATTAACCTGAAGAACAATTATCACTGGATTCAAAAAAGAGTCGAATGGATTTAGCCTCTAATGAGAAGCCTTCAGGTGCCACTGTCTCAGATCAATACCTAAATATAGGGGATGTTAATGATTTTCTAATGATGCTGAGGCTCATCATGCTGGGGCTGAAAAGAAAAGGAGCCCCAGCGTGCAACGTAAATGAAGCGCACATTGTTTGGTAAACTTTATCTTTGGCCTCACAAAAAGACATCGAAACGGTCAATGACAACGAGCGGATTACATAACACTGTTCAGCTACATTTTGGAGGTAATTGTCGTTTTTTTTCTGCTTAATTCCTCATTCACACACAAAGGCAGGTCTGTTTCACACAGCTGTTATCTCTCTCACACACACACACACACACCAGGCAAGGTCAGAATAGAGAATATTCTTCATGGAGTTGAAATGAGATCTCATCAGTCAGTTGTCAGTTGTTTTGCCCGGAGCCTCAATACTCTTCCATTTTTCCCTACCCTGGTTTGTTATATAATAATATGAAGCTTTAATTATGCCTGTATTTATGATTTTTCTTCTTTTTTTTTTTATCTTAAAAGTCCATCAAAATATGCTTCTTGCAAATCATTATCGAGGGGAAAAAAATGTGCAAAAGAGACGTGTTTGTCCTCAGGCCTGCACCAACAAAACAGACTTTGATGTTTAGGTGGTAGGACCCAAAAACCCGCTCCTCTGGCTTCCACCTAGGTTACTGGCTACAGATGGCTTATCTGGAGCCAGGAACTGTGAATACTACAGGGAATAAAAAGAGGGAAGGAAAAAGAGAGAGAGAGAGAAGGGAGGAAGAGGGAGTCAGGGGGAGTCAGAGAGACAGACAGAAAAGAAGGCTGCCAGGCTGCTGCTTATGGAGTCTGAGCCCATTCCTGTGGTGGAGCCATCTGCTGTGGGAAGGAGGGAGACAGTGGAGACCGCACTGGTCCAGTCGCTACTACTGAGAATATTAATCCAAAAGGTGATGCTGCAGAAATCCTCCAAACAAAAGAAGCTAAAAAAAAAAAGAAAGAAAGAAAAAATGAGAGGAACTGTGAGTGTCATGTGATGCAGTTTTAACACTAAAGCTAAAGTTAACTGCATTTACAGTTGTACAGTGGTGGTGATGGTAGAGCATGTGCAGTTATTTCAGGTCGCGCTATGGTTTAGCTAGCCTTCGTGCCAAGGAAACGCAAAGACATACTGTCCAGTTTGTGAATTTGGCTCTTCAGATCAGTCAAACAGATGGTCACAGACGAGCAGTACAGAAGCTGCCGTAAGAACAACGTCAGCTACTAATTGGAATGAAACCGAGAGATTATAGACTCAACTCCAACATGGCGGGAAGAGGATGAATGGAAATAATCACACACAACAAAATGTGAAGGGGCTATTTTTGTGGCAGCACAAAGTTGAGATGGTTTAAATATGGAGGGGAGAGGAAATGGGTGGAGGAGAGCAAGAAGTACAGTAGAAGAAGGTGAAGGTGAAGAGAAGATGAAATAACAAGGTAGAAAATGTACAATGAGAAAAAGAGAGGAAGATGTTGGAGGGAAGAAGAAGAAGAGGAGGAAGGTGGAGAAAAGGGAAGAAGGAGCAGGGGGCAGAGGAGGAGAAAAGAAGAATAACAATAAATATTCAAAGAAAATGTAGAACAAGAAAAGATGTTGAGGAAGAAGAAAAAGAACAAGAAAAGGTAGAATGAGGAAAAAGAGAAGAAAATGTAGAAAGTAAAGGATGAAGAAAAAGAGGAAGACATGAGGAAGAAAAAAGGTTCTGTCTAAATATGTTAGGACAAGGAGAAGAGAAGGATATTTTCAGATTAAAATGATCTACATCTTCACTTTCTCTATACGGTACATTTGTAAAACTGTAGTTATCTGTGACACATTGTCTCTGATTTAGCTTCTTAATGGTAACTGTGCCACACCAGAGCAGTCTATCATTACATTACAATGTTCCGCTCGTACTATATTAGACTGTAATAAAGAAATGATAAATAATAAAACACCTGTCATATTGTGTTCCATTAATCTATTTACATTTGGTAAATCCATTTAAAGATGGCCAGGAGATACAGCAGCAGTGAAATATGATGCGTTTGATGTGGTCACAGAAATGTTCCCATTAACAGGTTTAATGTTGATTGTCATACATATTGATTCGAAACCACACACCATCTGTCTTTGGCTTTAGATTAAAGCTGCCATGTGTTCAGAACCATCCTTACAAGCACACAATTCTGAATGGAAGTCACTTTACGTTTGTTAAAAAAAATATGTTGTTGTGGATCACCGCGATCAGCACGTCTGTTTCAGAGCAGCATGCAGAGCATGTGTCTGTAAGCTAGGAGTGGATTTATTCATCAGAAGAGCCGAGGATTTATATTCCAATCAGCACTTTTACATTTGTGCATGACATTACCATAAACTCTACGACCCCACAGCTCTGTGCTGACCGATGGGCTATTAAATATATAATGTGACAGATCATCTTATCTACACACAAGAATTGCTTTGGAGATTACTTTTGCCTGAAGAAGGTGAAAGCCACGATTTAAACACATCACTGACAACCGGAAACATGACGATGTCACATACATACACTGTATATCTGCTGCTACTGCATACAAATGAGCTAAACATTCAGTTGTAAACTGTAAAGACAGCCAGAAAAAAAGGGGATAGGTTTGAAATAAGTAATCGTTTGTCATTTTGCTGTAACAAACTGCTGCAGCCTAGAACAGGTAAAGAGCCTGGGAGGATGTGTGGCATCAGTGCATCACCTGTATTAACAGAGAAATACACTCTAAGCTACACAGCTGCGCTAGGAGGATTCATTAGGCACCAGCTCAGCAGAAACGACAGATGCCTTTAGGGGAAATTATATTCTCTCCTTCTGAACATGACTGACAGCAGACAAACTCTATGAGTGTATGTGTATGTGTGTAGATGGAGATGGAGTTTTTGATCATTAATCAGACAGCATGCCGATGTCACTGATGAATGGCCTACTCCACTACATAATCTACATGCAGCTTTCCCACTCAGCCTTCATCCCAGATAGACTGTGTTGTCTATGTGAAAGAGTAAAACTAAAAAAAAAAAAAAAAGGCAGGACAATCCATCTCCATTATCCCTTTTCCACCATGATTATTTAGCATCACATCAGGCTGCCCTCCTCCTTTTCTGCCCCGTCTTTTCCGCTCACTCTCATTTCTCTATTTTCTTCGCTCTTTTTTGCTGCAACTTTCACCCAGAGGAAATTATTTACTAATGACTTGCACCAACTCTGTGCTGCAGAGAAAAGAAAAACAAACACTGAGGGGGTGAGATCCCTTTAAATGCCAGTTTTTTTCTGGTGATAGATCCCTTTAAATGCCAGTTTTTTTCTATGCCGTGGATGGTCTCCTTACTGCACATGAGTGACTTAACATATAATGACATGTTTGCTTCTGCATCGGCACATACACGACCCAAGAGAGTCAGAGAACCACATAAAAATTGGTCTATACTGCCACCTTCTGTTTACTAAAGGTAACGTTAATGCGCATAATACAGGGAAACAGTACGGCTGCCAAATTTTTTTTTTTTCAAAGTGATACGGTGTACTTGTATGAACCGCAAAGCAGTGGTATCTAGCTCCTTAGGACATAGTGCCATGCTCAAAACAAACTGTAGTGAGGACATCAAAAGGGAAAATACTTACAGCCCACTTTATTTTCTTCTCACTGACAGGCAAATTCAGTCCAAAAGAAAACAAATATTTCAGAAGATCTTCAAACTGACACCCTTACCTTAAAAAAAGAAGAAGATGTTAAAGAGGTTAAAGTTGAATCAATTTAAACTGTGCTCTTGTACAGTCAGCTGAATAAAAAGTCAGCAGAGTTTTTACAAGTTTGTTTCAACACCCCGTTGTCTGGTAAAACCTTCACCTTAATGGTGTATAACATATTTCCAAATTAACACGCACTGTTGTCCAAAAAAGGTCTCAACAACAACTCAAATTTATTTAAACTACCCACGAGGATAACACTGGTTTCCCTGTGCATAGCTGGTTATAGTGAAAAGCTGTTATGTAGTATCAGGTTTTTAGATGTACTTCATTGATCCCACACCTGAGAAATTCGTGTGTTAATAGGAGATCTGCTGCAGTAGGGTGACCCTTGGAGGCACCAAGTATGTGGCTCCTCTGGAAATCTAACCAAGGACTATCTTCCTGCTTCCGCGGCAGGCCTGCTAACCGCTACACTGTAAACCACAACAGTGAGGAAAATTCTTAGCATACAACAAGTATCATCGTCCCATTCTACACCATATTTCACTCTTGCTTCACTAAACTGGTGCTAATGCATCTCTCCAGGTGGGCACTAACCCAGTCTGTCTGGTTCCATGGTTCATTACTCCATATTTCAGCATCATTCCCTAAAATAAGCAGACCATCTGAAGCCCACCTGGTACCTGGGTGCTGTGGGACATAAGGAGAGAGAGGTGGAATCTCATATTTTCACACCCAATTAAAAGACAACCAAAACGGTGACAGAGAGCAGAGGTCACAGCTGAGCCAGCTTACCTGCACTATCAGGCATGGTTTAGTTGTAATTAAAGGGTCATTTACTGCAGGAGAAACAAACACAACATTACTCCACCAACAGAACAGAACATTCAACTGCTATTACCCAGAAGTATAACAAGGAGCGGAATACTGAAAACAAACACAAATACCCAAAGTGCATCATGGGAGTGAATGAAACAAGTTCTTATTTCAAAGCTTACGTCACCTCCAATTTTAATCAGAGCCAAATGTAAACAAACATCTGCACTACAGACATCTGGTTTGTATAAACTCAGTACCAATGTTAAATTAACAGCATGTGGGTTGCCAAAAGACATGTCTAGATAAAGGCAGAAGAAAATTATACAGTATATGCTAAGGTAAGTCAGAAACAAATGTGAAACTACAACTCATTTATGAAAATTGGGTTATAAAAACAACTTAATAAAATGGCACCCAACAAACCCTGGTAGAAAGATGTCTTAACTTATTGCTTACTTTGTTTAATTATCATTATAACGTGGCGATATGGAGGGAAAAAATTTCAACAAAGAAGTTTTATTTATTTTTTATTCATGGAGACATCATGAACATTAAAAGCAGAGCAAAAGTAAACAAGTCTTCAGTCTTCAAAAAAGAAATCATCTGATCAAAATTAAATCAGTATATATTTTTACAATCAAGGAACAGGCGCAATTATAGTGAGCACTAAGTGGAAGGGAAAAAAAGAGACACACCCTATCATTGCTCTAACACTGTACAAACGCCTTTGTTTGACTTGGTTATTAAGCAGGTCTGGCTATAAGGTCGAACCCGACAAACAAAACAAAAAACAAAACAAGCAGTTTCTAAGATGTGTAAAGATTCTTTTTCCTTTAACTTAAACAGAAAGCCCATAGCAGACTTGTAGATTTGGTATTTAAAATGATATCTAGCTGGTACTGATGACCAACAAATACAGAAGAGAAACCACAGCTAACCATATCCTGCCAAATGATGTGTACAGTAACAAAAAAGAAAAAAAAGCAATGGTTGTTTCTTAAAATTCTCATTTACACATTGGTTTTAATGGTTGTGACTCAATTTCACCTTGTTTTTAAGCAGCGAAGTGTCAGGCTCAGGGAAAGAACGGCTGCACTTTTCCACTTCTTCCACCCAGATTTTCCAGCTTCCCTGTTGAGCAGAAAAATGTTCACAAAAATGTCATGTTAGCAGAAGGGCCAGCAACATGGGTTTGTAGCAACAAGTGCTGCTACTGGAGTATTGTGAGGATAATCTACTTCCTAAAGGTAACTCTTGTTTGGCACTTTCCTGCTAACTAACACAGGAAATTGCTAATGATGCACAGTGAGTCAGTACTTGGTACTGTTTTTATATTCGTTAGGTTTCACAACACACATTTCAAACCTCTAGTAACTTGTAACTGATACAAGTCTTTAACAAATTGACAGAACAGCCTGATATTTCCTTTCCAATCTGAAAGGCCCAATGTACACTGCATGACATGAGAGCTGGGAGTTTGAAATAGAATTGATTGCAATTAATCACAATACTTACATTTTGATGGTGGCTGTTAGAATGCACAACTACAAATCTAATATACAATTTTATCCCAGACAAATTCACTTTGATGAAGAGTACACAGTTATAGTTTCAGATGTTGGCAGGGGAATACCAAGCGGGCTGTCTGTGCATCTCAGCATTTTTTAAATATTTTCGTCTGACATTTTCCCCCAAAACTGAAAAAAAACCCCAGAAAACCAAGAATCAGATAAAAAAATACTTTACAAAAACAAGCTTTGAAGTCAAGTTCACGTTTTGGAGAAGAAAATTGTATTTTTTTTCTGACAGGCAAGAGCATTCAGAAATGGATGTTGGTAGAGAAAGGAGTACCTGGGGTGAGTACCTGCACAGTTTGACAGTCACAGAGTATCCATGATTTTTAATTTGCCCTTTTCTCATGTGGTCTCGCTCACAACACCAACGCTGTGTGAGGTATGGAAGTCAGCTGCAATTCATCCAATAAACCCTACCGTCCAGTTAGTCAGTTAAGTTAAGCCCCCAGTCTTAAAACCCCCACCCGAAACACACACTGCATGGCAAAATCAGGTACAGTAAGCTTGACAGAAAACAAAAATCACTGGCATTAAAATTATTATAATCAGTAGAAGAAATTATAACACTGTTGACGAGAGTACAACTACGTTCACATGGGAGAGAAGGATAATTAGCTCTCCTTTTTGAAAGTGTATTATCTTAGGTTGAAAGGTTACATTTTGAAAATATAAAACATAATGAGATACAAAAAACAGGTTAAAACAGGAACTTTATTTCCAAGTGTTAATTGTTTTTGCGCTATTTTGTCCACAGAGACAAATATACATCTACAAGGATCAAAAACTGATATAAAACGAGGGGTACCTCTGGGCATGTTTGCTCAGGGCTACACTGGCCTTTCCCTCTTGGCTTTGTGTGAATGTTTTCTACCTTCTTCTCATTCATCGGGCCTAGTCCTTCATCTTCTGTGCATACTTAATGATGCACTATTTAAAAAACAGGATAAACATATTTGCATACAGTGCATAAGACAGAATTCATCGGCATTAAACTGAACATAAACAGGAAGGGGAAGGCAGGGGAGAGGGGGGAGGCGCAGTGGAGCAGAGAGGTTGGGAATAGGAGGGGGAAGCAGGGAAGGGTAGGTTGGTTTAAGAGCCAGAGAGGAGTGAGGAGGAGAACGCACTTACCTGAGCCTGATCTGAGGTCCTATCAGATCAGTTTTAATTGGACTGAGTGTCACCTTCAGATTGGAGGAGTTCTTGCTGGCCATTGAGCAGAGGGGAGGAGCCAGAGGCATCTGCCTCTGTCTCCATCGCTTCCACTTCTGATGAAGATTTGGTGACAGCTGCTTCGCCCTCCGAATGCTTGTCTTTCTTGGAGTTGCTCTTCTCCTCTGCCATCTTACGGTCTAAGAAAACATACACAGTCAGAAGCTGTGGATTGTTGGTTTTTAAAGGCCTCAGAAGGTAGAATACTGTAAATCTGGTCTTTACCTTTGTCCTTTGAAGACCGTTCTCTGTCCTTGTCACGTTCCTTTTCTCTGTCTCTACCTCGGTCCCGGCTGCGACTCCGGTGGCGATGAGATTTGCGCTCTGAGCTGCGTGACCTTCTCCTGTCACGACTGCGGGAACGACGCTTTTTGTCAGAGCGCTCACGGCTTCGCCTCCTCTCCCTGTCTCTATCCCGACTCCTAAAAAAATGTAAATAATCAAAATAAAACAGACACTGCATTCACAATCAACTGGATTACTAAATGGTAACCCCTGTCTGTTAAATGTTGCACACCAGGAGCAATTCATCTGTTCTCGGTATAAATTCATTGTTAGTCCACCTTGGTCAATAGCCAGACATACCTGCTGCGCTTCCGGTCCCTCTCCCTGTCCTTGTCTCTGCTCCTGGACCTCCGACGGTCGCGAGATCTGCTCCTTTTCCTGTCTGATGCACGACTTGAGTGACGGCTGTTTGAGTGGCTTCGTCGTGACCTTCGATCTCTCTCCCTTTCTCTGTCACGTTCTCTGTCCCTCTCGCGGTCACGCTCCTTCTCTCGCTCCTTCTCTTTTTCCCGCTCCTTCTCCTTTTCTTCTTCCTCCTTGCGCTTTTTCTCCCTTTCCTCCCTCTCACGCTCTCTATCTTCTCTGTCTCTCTTTAGCACTGGGTTTTCACCCGGTGGTTCTTCTGAGCGACGACGTAGTTTCTCCTAAGAGTAAACAAAATTGGCGTCATTGTCAGTAAAAACCAAAGTCTTTTCGCCAAATAGATTATTCCGAATTGTTCAGCGAGCTTGTTCTTGTACCTTAAGCTCCTCAACAGTAGATTTGATCTTGGCATAGCCCATGTGTTGCTTTCCCATCAAGTGGTCATCCACCCGGGATTGTGCATCACCCACAATCAGAAAAGCGCCACACACTTCACACACCTCCATCTGTTTCTCTTGGGCTGCAAAGCTCTCGATGGTCTGAAGAACACAGTAACAGGTCACATGTTCACATGTATGACCACCGGATAAATTCAATAAAATAACACTTTACATGACAATACCCAGTTGGATGCAAGACCTATCACCAACAGACTAAAACATGTATGTGTTCAACATTGCCTGTTACTCTCACACCACCTAATCTGCACCAATGACCCAATAACAGGGAGACTCACCGAAGGGGTTGAGTTGAGCAGTTCCCGCTCTTACTTTAACTGCTCTCCCAGCATCCTCACC